GTTTATGACGAACGCTTATCATTGGTAAGTTAATCTTTCATTTAGTGTAACTATATAAAGGGGCTGATTATAAACGATTTTGAAAATGACTTTGAAAATTTTTAAATCACGTACATTTCGCTATAAATTACTCAAGTTTCAGGCAATTTATTAGTCTATTCAAGTCTCGGTATCAGCTCTTTGACTTTTATGTTATAGAACTGTGTCTACAGAATCTCATTGATTTGAGTCCATCTAGATTTCCTTTTGTAGATTATTTTTCAGGGCCGTAAATTCAAAGGGTTTTAAGTCAGTGATACGAAGAATTCACATATAGTTATCGTGATGTATTTTACCACCCTAAACTATCAGCTAGCTCATTATTTAAAGAACCACTAACCGGGTGATCCTTTGTAGGTTTTAATGCGAACAAATTAAGTTATAACATAAGCATATTATTTACTATCTTCATAGAAAAAAATAATCATTTATCACATTCCATAGTGTTATCTCTAATCTGTGACTTTAAAACAGAACATTTTTTAAACCGAAAGCAAATATTTTTAACATTATAAAGTATGCTTTTACAAGGCTTTTCATATAGCGTAAGATGAAAGTAATCGATCTTTGAATTTCGGCCCAATAAGCAAGATGCTTTATTGATTCCGTGTAATACAGTTACATTTTTTTATTTTAACGCTAGATATCAAATTGTTCATTACTTCATTTTCAAACTACACAGCATTTATATCAAGGATACTGCCTTAAGGGATATTATCTTTACCTTTTGCCATAAATGGTGGTGGTGGGAGGGAGTCGACAGGTTTCCTGTCGACTTCATTTAATCTCAATATATGGTGCACTCAGTGTAGAGTCACCTAGACTGGTGGCCACATTGCAACATGGTCGATAGCATTCGATCTGCACTAAATGAGGACTTGACGCACATGACATCGATCACTACCCAGTGATCAATCAATTGTGAAGATAATAAGTATATTATGTTATATTGAAATATAAGAAGATTCTAATACTTAAAAAAATCTTATTATGTATATAATTGAAATATGGAATTTCAGCGTAAGTTACAAATAAATCATATGTGATGGACAAATATCAAACTGTTGCCTAGTAGATCATCATAGAAATAATACTATGTCGATGAAAATTAGATATTTGCTTTAATCATAAATAGTAAATCTTTTTGTTTCTGTACACTAAATTGTGATTAAAATAACGGATGTAAGCAGATAAAATTGTTTTTAATTTGATTAGAAAAGTCCGAAGGATCAATAATGAAAATCATTGTAATAATGTAAAATATAATAATATAAGGTAATGCATATAGATATCAATTCCTAAACTTGTTTACGACTAACTAGAATAATGAGTCGATTGAAGCTAGACCACCGTGGAAAATCTGGAAGCACTGGACGACCGTTTCGTCCTAGTACGGGACTCCTCAGCAGTGCGCATCCAAGGTCCCGCACCACGCGAGGCTCGAACCCAGGACCTACTGGCTTCGCGCGCGAGCACTTATCCACTAGACCACTGAGCCGGCATCCAACGGTGTTAATGTCTAGCTTCAATCGACTCATGATTTCAACCTGCGAAATTTCTAAAAACTCTCCACAAAACCCATTCTGATAACTAGAATAATTTTTTTTCCATCGATATGTAATTCAAAACAGCTGTATCAAAGCTACTAGTGGTGTTCCTGTTCCTAAGTCATACTTAGGATAATTTACTGAATATTGGTTATCAACAAATCTAACTGGAAAAACACATTGTTAGCATAAAAGGAAAAAAATTGTTACGTTTAGGGCAAATTTAATTGGTATATGTGATCATTGGTAAAAAATATAATAGTATAGTAGATGCAACTGAAAAGATTGCTTGTAAGTAGTATGTTGCGGAACGTGTTGAAGTTGCAACAGTTGTCAGACAGAGAGAAGAATTTCTGTACAATTACAGGATTTTGTAAGTAGAACACTTCGAGACCAGACGAGAAAACAACTCCGATTACAGGACACATTAAAAGATACAAATGGATGATTGAAGGTTATGTTTATGTAGTATATGAACTCTGTAGATTCTCGTAAAGAATATAGAATCCTGTCCATAACCTTTGAAAATAGCTGATAATGAAAACTTCGACAAAATCAGTTTGTGCATTATTTCGGTGAGAAATAGACATGTAGCAACTAATCCATGATATTTCACGATCATCTTCACTTGTTTACAGTATGTAACTGCTTCACGCCCGCGTTTGCACGCTGGACTGAAGATCCTGAATCCTAATCATATGTACCAGATCGTAGATGTGCACTCTTGAAGAGCTACATACTAGGACGGACTGGCTGTCCAATGTTTCTGGGATTTTATTGGTGGTTTAATATTGATCGATTCATTATCTCAATTGAAACTCAACAATCTCCACAAACGTAAACTTATAACTTTGTGTTTTTCATTTAGATTTGGTTTTCTGGAAGCAATGTATATTGAATATTACAAAGCAATTGTAAATAAACTGATTTGTTGTCCTTTTAATTACAAATACGTTATATAAATTTTTATATGGTTTCGAACAAGTTCGCTTGATCTATATAACAAAGTCAAAATTTAAATCCTGTGCCTTTACCTGTATGAAAATCTATTACTTCTAAACATCTTATATTCTAAAGTATTACTAACTGGCTTTTGTTGAAATAAAGCTGAGGATTCTTATAACTGTCAGTAACGACCTAAGCTAGATGAAAGTTGATATCATATGGCTAACCGGTATATTTTATTATTTTAACTATTAAAGTATCACTGTGCTGTTTGAGCTTTCTCGTTATGTATATTAAAAGCTGTATTTGTCCAATCTGGTTCATGTACATCTTGAGTGGATTGCTTTAGCGAAATTAATTGAACAAGCGTCTACACAGACTCAATAACTTGGTGGAAAACTTGCTGGCATTTGAAATGAAAAGTAATAAGTTTGAGTCTTAGTGTAGATATCAACAATGAGGCAAAAGTACATTCAACTAATAAACACACATTCTGGATTTCTTTGCAAACCACAATCTAATTTTGATATTTCATTATACAAATATGTAAAGTGATGTTTTAATTATATGGAATTTGTATGCCATAATGTTATATCTCGATATGAATAATGGATGGTAATTTTTGGGATCCATTTATGGACCAATACTATGCGTATATTTTTATCGTGTATTTGTTAAGTAACTAAACTGTTCATATTCATGTCCCTCTTATTATGAGTTTTATTTTGACCTATGAACCATTATTATACGATTTACCATTCATGAATTATACCCTGTCTGTTAATCACTACCTCCCTCATTCACAGTCACTTTGGCCAAATATTGTACAAATGTTATTTTCTATTTTATGGACCGCTGTGATCTGTTTGGTTGGTATATGAATCCCGTATGTTTGAAATAAATGATTCATATTACGGAGACTGAGATTGGTGTTCTGAACTTAACTGGCTGGGCTAGGCGGAAAGCAGGACCAATGAGGACTCTAGGCTGCTCACACGTGTTTTATGCGTCACTGATTCGGTCAATAATTTGCTGCTCTCCGATTGGCGGTATCGTTGAGTTATACAATGAACAGGGCACACAAGTTCCCAAGTTATAACACATAAAAACAGAGATAACACTAAAGTTGCTCAGAAAAACTTCTGACAATCCAAATTTGTTAAAATCATTGAATAACTAAGTATTTCTCATGATCATTACTAGATTATTAATGATGTATTGTTGAGGAAGGTGATCATTCAACAGTCTAATGTTTTATTAATAATTTATTATACTACATACACATATCAGGATTCCAACAATAAATCTATACCTAATTACTGTAATTTTCAGTGAGTGGATTTAATATAGCCATATAAATTAGTAACTATTTAACATTAATAATATTTACCCTAACAACTGAACGAATTTACTTTTCCAATAAGTTTATTCATCATCATTACACTTCAGATGATGATTGATTTATTGATTTTCATCCTATTAATTATTAATATACAATAATGTGCAAATTCGGGACCTTAATAGTTATTTTATTACCTACATTTTTATCCTTTATAAAACATGTTATTTCACAATAGTTCATGATCATGTTATATTCATTAAACACTTTGTATATATGTGGTGTATGGTACCTATGTCAACAGACATGTGTAGTACGTAACACTAAATGGAAGTGGAAAACCTTGAAGCAGAAGGCTCTGAAGGTCAACTTGAAAAAGATAGACAAAAAGAGAAAGGAGTTATGACTTGAAAGAATAATATGGAATATAAAGGACAAATGAAAGGATTTCTCGAAAGGATTATTCAGTGTATGGCTCTCATATTTTACCAAGAGATTCTGTAACTTTGTAATAAAGCGCATCTGGTTTTCCCCACCTGTGTTCTTGTTCATTACACATAAATTTAACAATTAATCAGTAATAGACAATATCATCTTATTTGATCATTACCACTGTTTTAGTTTTACAGAGCAGTTTAAAATTCCAGCACTAAGCTTAGCCACTCAGTGTACTTTGTTTAATGTAAGATGTTTATAAGTAGTGAATAGGTACAATTTCCCGTTGAATAAATTCGTACATAAATATAAACCAAGAAAATTTACAGATCGCTTTTATTGATTCAGCAAATTTTGTGCATAAACAACGGTTTTATCCTTTTAAAATACAATTATGTGAACTATGGAATGTGAGATGGTGGAGAAGATTTGTAGCTCAAGTGGATGATTTTGATGAAGTTTTGTTCTCCGACCAAACCATCCAGCTCAGAGAACAAAACTCCATCAAAAACTATGGAATGTATTTGTCTTCTTACATTTAATATGTTAGAATTTGAAGTTCAAATACATAATCAAAAGATGTTAGAGATCAGCCTAGTTACAAAATCATTTCATGAACATTCATCGAAGCAGTAAATCATAGTCACTAATCATTTAACATTATATAACTTTTTCTCTACATAAATTGAACTTACTTTACTGGATTTAGAAGAAACGTTCATTGTTGACATTTCATTTTTCTTCATTTTCATTCGTTTATTATAAGCTTCTATACTGAAAAAAGAGATCAATTTAAATATGTAGGACAACTGTTAAATGAAACTGATGAAATCTATCTATTAAATTTAGATAGAGAAAACCATGTGTTTAATTGTATAGTTCTCGAAATTGTACTATTAATGATGTATAGCTTGACAATAAGATATAGCGATTTACAATATAATTTTAATTAGGAATTGATGTCAGTTGAAGAACCATTAAAATCCAAAGAGCAGAGGTAACTATTTAGTCTTACTTCAATTGACCTCAGTACAGTAAACTTATGAAGTGTTACGGGATTGGTAAAAAACTAAACAATTAAGTGATCATCAGTTGTAATATGTGCGCGATTTCAAAAGTCCCCACAACTGTCACACAGCATTACTTACATGAATGTGATTCACTACCGTTAATAGTCATATATAGTTAACAAATTATCAGTGTATTGACTGTAGATATTACTGTAGTATATTATATTAATATGATTACCATAAGTATTTTCGAACCACAAATTCTGGTATGTTGAAGAGTAAGTTTCTGCAAATGTTTTATATTTTCGTTTTTTGTATGAAGTATTTGTCAAGATATGGAGAGCAAAACGAAGTAGAAATGATATCATAGAACCCCAAAATGACCTGTAGAAATTATCTGAATGGTCTCAAACCTGGCAGTTGCCAATAAATACTTCCAAGTGTATTGTGATGCATATCGTTCATCATGGTACAGATACATACACGATGAATAACATTGAGCTACCTGTTGTCCAGACACACAATGACTAAGGAGTCATCGTCAGCCAAAACTTAAAGACTACTGTACACTGCCGTGCGAAAGCCGTCAAAGGTTTTAGAACCTTACGGTCAACACGTAGGGCTTTTAGTCATGTCGACGCTAAAACGTTTTTGACTTTGTATACAGTGTTCGTACGTCCTAAACTCGAGTACTGCAAACAAGCGTCTAGCTCCTGCTTGTAAAAAGACAGTGAACTTTGGAAAAGGTTCAGAGAACAGCAAATAAGTTGATTCCCGGAATAGCGAAGCTTCTGTATGATGCTCGACTGGCCAAGCTAAACCTATTCCCGTTGTCATATCGAAGAACTAGAGGCGACTTGATTACAGTTTTAAAATTGCTTAGTGATAAATTTGCACCTGATATGCCCTCGTTTTTCTTGTCTTCCAAAACAGATAATTTACGAGGACACTCCAAAAAAAGTTCACAAGCCCAGAACAAATTACTTGTCAGCTGACTATCGACTTTCCCATCGAATCATCAACGAGTGGAATCCGTTACCTCAGTACGTGGTTGAGGCTCTTTCAAATGAAAGTTGGACCAACTGAGAGACCACCATTGCCAGGACTAACACAGTCCATCAAGCCTCCTGTCCTTTCCTAACTGAAACTGAAGCTGAAAACTGTTATGTATTAACACGGTTATCTGGGTGCTGCTGAAAATGTTAAGAATTCACTAGTAACCCATTTCTTTTCCTTCTTAAAGTCATTTTTTGACCTGATGGTTAATTAAAAAAATTTCTTGCTGTTTTACATATTATGCAGTTACTACTAAATTAAATAATAGAGGTAAAGTTTGAAAGCCTCAGTTATGAGAATGTATTCCACTATTTATTTACTTAAAATTAAGGCTGAGCTTTGATTCTCTGATTCTAAAATTCACACCAAAATTTCCATTTATTCTTACCACTGATGGTTTAAGTAATGATGTGTATAATGTATTATCTTGGATTTTTCTGTAAGAAACCAATCACTCATGATGCACATGATGGCTATACTACTGACTAATAGTGAGCGAAGCTGTTTTTAAAATATATGAAGTGCAGTCATGGATACTTCTTGCATGAGATTATATCCAATACTTTAATAATAGACAATAGACAAATCACTTGTTAAACAGCTAATCAATTACACTTTTGGCTAACAGCAGTTGTAGAGTTATTATAGTGCCATTTCAATATATATTCCAAATTACTATATCTGACTCCTATAAACATTACAGCACATGTATCTAGATACAAACACTAATAATCTATGAAAATCAAATAGCATATAACCACTTATACATATATACAATCAATAGATAATGTCTGTTTCCCTTACTTTCAACTATTTATATGAATCAGTTAACTAACGTATACACTACCTTCATCAAAATGTAATATACATTAAATAGTGCAAATGATAAATAAAGCACAATTCATGTTTGACATGATTGTTTATACAGTTAGTATTTCTATTTCATCTACTTACGACAAATGGTTCATTAATCAATATTAATAACATAATCTTTATTTACGAAACACATATACACTACTGACATGTTATGTTTAACCGGATACAATATCAATAAGAAACATTAAATTATTTGTATAATTTAATATTTATTAGACTACGATCAATGTTCCAATGGCCATTGTGATTTTTTTCTAAACCTAACAAAGTATTGATCAAATAACATCACTGATGTTATTATAGCAACTACCCTATGATTAATTATTGTTAAGCGCTTTTATTAACTTATTTGACAGACAATGTTATTCGAGCAGTAACGACTCGTCTATTTCTTTATACTATGATGATCATTATCTTGTATTTATATATATACGTGCATGGTTAATCACATGACAGCCTACATACATTTCTCTCTCGAGCTTAAATGTTATTCGCTTGAATACCGCTTAATGATTCATTCTCTTCGCCATGTAAATATGTACTGGAATCCTATTAACTGCCTTTTCCTTGATTGACTGTGCCTTGACTCGATTTGACCATAAATTCATCTCTGTATTCCCTCCCTCGCACACACACACATTAGCCTATCTTCTCCATATTCATTTGATATGCTTGTGACTTTATTGTCTGTGCTATCTGCTAACAAACTGTGGTTGTCACTTCTTATTGCCTTCTGAATTCAAACACCGTTGTGGATTTACATGCTGATGATTATCAAGGTGATTGACTGAAGAAGTTAATCCATTACAATATTAATCATAAATATCAATATTATTTATTCTTTTTAATTATTTATAAAACGACTCTTTCGATTGAAAGTTTGAATATTTTTGTTTGAATTTATTCACAGTTTTATGATCAATCAACTGTGATTATTTTCGAAATTTGGATAAAAATTTGCAATTTACAAATGTAATTAGTTATTGTACAGTATTCTTATACAATTATATCTCCTAAATATATCCATATTATTGATATCAGAATTCAATCTTATAAAATGGACCTGGGATGAGATAACTTTATGATGAAATGTTAGTTTAAGGGTAATTTCATTAATGAAGACCAATTAAAATTCATAAGCGATACTTAGCTGCCTATTTTTAGTCTGGAACTACTCGGTTTATTGAACTTTTTGCATTAAACAAAGATGTAAAATCACAGAGCGGCTACGTAAAACTTTAAAACCATATATTAAGTACATTATTTGTATATTTTCCTTCAGTTGTCATTTATATACTTTGTGATCCCTTCATTTCTGTTTTTTTTTCTCAGTTTCCCTTCCTGTTTTTTAATTCAATCTTCTCAATCTTTTTCTAAGAAGCATTGCTCTTCAGATTGTTGCTACATACTACTTATATTAGTAAACATAAGTAGTATGCAACACACTACAATCTTGCCACTATGATTAGTAGGGATTAAGAACCTTCCAGAAGCCTACGGGCATTTGAAATGCTATAAATACCTCCCACTTTCTGTACACATATGAATCTTCAGATTTCGGGACCCTTCTCTAATGTTCAAGATGTCGTGTAAATTTAACCTAGTGTTATTAGAAGAGCATAATAAACCGATTCAAGTGTTCTGATAAAAGATTCATCAATTACATCAGTGCATGTTTTAACGGTAAAATCTCGTTAAATATTGACACACAAATTAACGATTTGGAAAAGTAATCGAATCAATAAATATTTCAAGAATTTAAAAGTTACCGGAATGAGATATCATAAAGTTGAGTTATCCTTTCATGACTATAAACTTAAGCTTTTAGGATATTATTTGTACAATTTAATTGCTCATTAATAATAACCTGAAATTAGGGAATTTTCTCATGTGAAGTCATTCATCATGCGCGTATTTCAGTCAGTATGTATAACTTTATCTACTAAATACACTGAATGAACTACTACTTAAATCACTTTTATATAATTTCTAACATGTCACAGTTACTAACCCTGTATCTTTAACATTTATTCAATTCAACTACGCCATAGGAATAGACAATTGTTTAAAATGTCATAATTTATTTAATCAATAACAACTACTGTTAATGTATATTTATAGTAAATTAGAACGTCTTAAACAATGAAATTATGAAGGTGGGCATAAATTACATTTGGTTACAACAAACCGCAATAAAACACAACAACTTATCAATTCCTGTCTAGTTTCATGCAACCGAATCCTTTAATTAATAAATGTAAACAGAGATAGAACAACATTTGCGAAATAAAATGAATCAATCAGTCTATTTCACAGCTGCATACAACTTAAAATTACAATTATAAAAATAATTCTTAACATATGTTTAACACACTTCAGTTTATGAAGTTTTGATAAATGTCCAAAGCGTAACCAAAATTATAATAATAAGAAAAATAGGGATCTAAAACCCATGGATATTTATAGCCATGATCGATGTGTATTTATATGTTGGAAAGTAGTAATGGAGAATAGAACATATGTTATAGTTCCCAGTGGGCATAATCAAGATAAAGAAGGTTATGTACAGGGGTTATGAAACCAACGAGTGATTGGGTAGTCCCTTAACATAGTAAAAAACAAAATGAATACGTATATGAACGTTGATAAGATTATTTAAGAAATGAATATCGGAAGACAAATAAAAGAAGGGAAGAAGGTTGAAAATAATTGGTAAAGGTTATTTGACAAGCGTCCAGTCACCACATCAAATGAAGGTTAATCATACTATCCTTCTAGGTACGTGGGTCAGGTCGGAAACGTTTGATAACGATTTCCTCCGCAAAACAGAGT